ACAGGGTGTAGTTACAGAAAAACCAGCTTCACAAATAGACGATCATGATCAATGCAAATATGTATCGTTTTTTCTCTCAGCAAAGGTGGCCTGAAGCGCAACCAAGAGAGCTTAGCGCCGAATGAAGTGGCCTGACGTATACAGACTAAAGGCTATGCGTTTTTGGTGTGTACACTGCTAGGATGTGCTCATTATAAAAGTGTGCTAGCACGACCTCAAAAGGAATATCGATAACTAGAAAGAAGAGCAGGTAGAGACTGCCGAACGGACGGACCACCAGAGTGGCCGTGTAAACAAGTGGCGCGACCAACGCTTGAACACGAGTTGAAAGGTTATAAAAGTAAGGAGGGTCTTGATTTCTTGGTGTTCGGCGTTATGAATTGGGAGTTCTCATGTTGAAAATAATCGGCCTTCAGCACACCAGAAAATAATGCTTAAGCCACGTCATCAACACACAGTTCGGTGTAATAAGAAAACTCAACACTTGAAAGCTGCTCTCATGATCAAGTATTCTCGAAAAATGTATTAACCACAGCCCCAAAATATAAATCTAACTCTGAAGCACACCCTCGAAACGTGTTGATTCCATTACTGGACACCCTTTTTGTGGTGCAACCAAGTGGCCGATCTGCCGTCGAGCTATATGTACTTAGGCCTGCCTCAATAGATCAGTTGGTTAGAGCGCCTTGTTTCAGATCCACCCACCCGTGGCGGGAGAGGGGGACGCCGGGTCGCTCTAGGCGTTTGCTGTTTGTCCCTGCCTGATGCAGCCTGCGGTCTGTGGCAGCGGCTGCGCTAACGGCCAGGTAAAGTCCGAGGGCAAGCGGCACGTGTCGAGCGTTGCGTCACGTTTAGCTCAAAATTCTGCCGCTGACCCGGAAGCTCTCGATCGGTTGGCGGGGTCAGCGCTCACGCAACCACCACTGCTTAGCGTGAGCGCTCATCCACAAAAATACATCCTATCAAAAGCTTTGGACTGCATTTTTAAACAGTGCTTATATCCGTAACGCATTACAATGCAGCACGTCCAATGGCTACAAGCAAGCAGTCCTTACATCACAAATGCGGTTAATTGTGCGTTTGTCTTCTGATCCCCAGTCGTGCGAACGTAGTCGTGCACGTGCAGTCGTGCCTCAAATATTCCTCCTTGACTTGAGAGCGGGTACCCGGAACACTGAGTGAGGTCTCCCGATTGTGCCGTGGGGTTTCGTTTTAAGAAAACTATCAGGTCGCAAATAAGTTGTAAAAAGATAAAACAAACAGGCCAAGTCTTAATAAAGCTACCGTCTATACAAGATAAAAGCTAACCCACTTTTTGCTTAACAGTGACAATTGTATCTCTCATCCAATCAAGACTGGCGGCAATCGAATGGCCCTACGAATGTAAGGTCATCAGTGATCTCAGATTCGTCAAACCGCAGCCCTGCAAAAGATATTGGTTTGAAGAAAAGGACGACGATCCTGTCAACACCTCAGAGTACATCGCTAGTGCTCTGCTTCGCTTCTGAGCGGCCCTGCGGTGACCTTACTAGATTGATCTAATGGTTCCAGATGATCTAATGGTTCCAGATCTAATGGTTACTAGATGAGGAAGGGTTCCAGCAGGACGGGATGGCCCTGCACACGACACAGGCTTCATTGCATTAGTTGGAAGAGCATTTCCCTGAAACGCACTTCCACTGCCGTGCTGTGCCTCCCCACTCACCCGACCTGTCGTCCCCGGACTTTCTGTGGAGTAACCTCAAGAACTACGTCCACATCGACAGGCCAGCGAATCTTCAAGCGCGTAAGGACGTCTCCAGGCTTGAAATGGAAGAATCACTTTCGACAAGATCGAACGGGCAATCGACTGGCTGCAGCGGATTCAACTGTTGTGCATCCCAGACCACCAGACAGAGATCTGGAACATCTTTTGTAGTCACGATTTGACGCATGTGGAGTCTTTGATAGTTTCCGTTGTCGCCGCTCGTGTTTTGCAACCGAATCGACAGTCGAATTCTGCCAGTCACGGTTGTAGGGCAAATATGCTCTCCGCTATTGAGGAAATCGTCGGTTAGCTTTTGCCGGGGCGACTCAATACTTTAAAAATCTGCCACATATTGCAGTTCCTTCTCTTTGTCCCAATTCACCTGTGGCCTCGTGGAAAACCTGCCGACATTTGCAGGCTGGCGTAATATGCCAGTAAGCGGGCAAGCCAAAACACAACGTTTGTATCCAAATGATACTTTTTGGCATACAATGAACAAGATATTAATAATGATGTGTTATGGTAACGAGTGAAGCAACACATTTCGAAAAATAATTTATCTGCATTTCTTTTGCCCAGTATTCTCTATTTTGCTCGTATGCATGGTGCGGTGGGGAGGCGAGGGGGCTAGGAGGGGCAGTGGGGTGGAGGGGAGTCAGGACAACACTGGAGAAGGGGAGCTCAGGTCCCGAAGGTATACAGAGTGACATCTCTGAAAGCCGCTCAGCGTGGTGCAATTGATGCGGAAAAGATTGCCACCATGCCCGGAGTCAAGCGCAGGAATGTTAACCAGTGTTGTCTCTGTCGTACACGCCGCAAAGTTTTGCCGCTGCTCGGGAGAACCTGGAGTAAATCTCATAGCCGGAATTGATGGTTTGCGTTGACACTTCCCTACACTAAGGAAGGATGTTTAACAACACTCCGATCGGTGGCGTTCCAGGACTGGAAGGACATGATAAAGAGGGTGTGCTTTGATTTCGTTTACCGGAGATTTCAGTGTTCAACACGACATTTATAGGCATTCCGGCACTATATTGCTTTGATCTTGCCAATGGCTGAACCATTGAACATCCGGCTGGGATATACCACTAAAGCAGCACACCATCGCGAGGTGGGTCACTATAATACAACTTTTGCAATTTTTACCTCCAGATTCCGTTCATAGGACTCCTCTTGATGCACATCGGCAGGCCGAGTCCCATGCATACTCATTCCATTAGCGTAAAGAACAAACTCAAACCCACCCAAAATACAAGAAGCGATGCACTTAAGCTCCACAACATGCCCATTTTGGGGCAGTGAACAAATTCTGACCATACAGAGTACCCGGTTGGTCCGGCTTTGAAAGCTGGTCAATCCTGGACAATCGGAACAACACTGCTTACCGAATGTTGATATAGCTTAGTGTGAAAAATGAATAACTAGTTACCGGCTATGGAACTTTCGCTGATTTTGCAGACGTTCCCTGAATGGTACTGACCATCAAAAGTCCAGAGCAAGGGAATTTGATGCAAATGCATCAGTTTATGGCGATACAAAATAAAAGATGCATTCCGGACTATCCAGGAATGGATGAATATTCGGAATTGGACCACCTGAATGTTTCGCATGATCAAAAGGTGTCAAGAGGTCACACTTTGGAGATGGGCCCACGGGGCTATTACACATGAGTCCTCGTTCTTTACACGGGCCCGAGTTTTTTGTGTTCCTGATGCCAAGGATATGTTCGAACTCAGCTCACAAAAGCCTCGTCAAATGGTGCCCGGCAATCAAGGTCTTAGGAAAAATAATACAAAATGTCATGCTACCGTCCTCTTTCCAGCCGATGCCCTGTTTTTGGCATTCAAGTCCACAATGACTGGCAGACCGGCATCCGTTCTCCTCCATCCGCGCAGCACTGGAACACCTTACAACGGCTGCCTGCGCTGCCACCGCAGTCGCGGCGGGCCGTCTCAGAGACACTAATCCATACATCCGCGTGGCTCACCGGCCGGGGCCTCCTGTTGACCACCGGCCCCGTCCGCCCTTCTGTTTGCCGGGTAGTTATTCTCAGCCACTTGCATGACGAACGGTGGTGCCAGGCAACAGTATTGGGTAGCACCAGGGTACACCACAAAGCAACAACATCGGACAGCGCCAGGGAGCAACACAGAACAACAACGTTGAACAGCGCCGGGGAGCACCACAGGACAACAGCATCAGACAGCGCCAGGGAGCACCACAGAACAACACTGAACAGCGCCAGGAACCACCAAAGGACAACAGCATTGAATAGCGCCAGGGAGCACCACAGAATAACAGCATCGGATAAAGCCAGGGAGCACCACAGGACAGCAGCACTGGACAGCGCCAGGGAGCACTACAGAACAACAGCGTTGAACAGCGCCGGGGAGCACCACAGGACAACAGCATCAGACAGCGCCAGGGAGCAGCACAGGACAGCAGCATTGGACAGCGCCAGGGAGCACCACAGAACAACAGCATCGGATAAAGCAAGGGAGCATCACAGGGCAACATCATCGGATAGCGCCAGTGAGCATCGCGGGAAGACAGCACCGGACGGCGCCAGGGAGCACCACAGGACAACAGCATCGGACAGCGCTAGGGAGCACCCCAGAACAACAGCGTCGGACAGCGCCAGGGATCATCACAGCACGCCACCGGGCGGACAGCGGCGGACAGCGGAACCGGACGACAGCGCCGGACAGAGGCGACATTGGTACGGGACAGAAGCAGCTGGAGAAGTACCGAGCGACGGCACCGTATAACACCAGATGCCTGCATCGAACGGCGAGTGAGCGCTGACCCGTGGCACCGCGCAACAGCGCCAGCCATCGTCCGATACGCGGCGGCGGGCTTTGGCGGCACTCAGACTGGCGCCTGTCGGGACGGATTGCTACGGCTGTACGCGAGGAGAGTGCATTCCGATGTCGGTGCGGCCGCGAGCCATCGGCGCCATCACCTCTCTCCGGAGCGGCCGCTGGCAGCCGCTGCCGCGGTCTCCAGCGGGCCGTGACTCGCCGCCGGCGCTGACTGAGCGCCGGGTCGCGCACCGTTTGAAGAGAGCGGGCACGTGGAACGAAAGGCAGCAGGTCGCGCCGTTTCCAGCCAAACGCTTGGTCCCTTCGTCGGTGGGGTAGAACTGGAGGGCCATGGGTGATGGCGTCACGGTAATCCGGGCCGAACGAGTCGTCCCGACAGCCGCCCAGTGGAACCCCGCCCTGGAGTGCGTCAGTGGCGTCGGCTCGCTCACCTTGTGTCGAGTGACGAAAACACGCTTGCGCACGACGTTTCATCGGGCCGTCCAATCCACAAACAAGTTCTCCGGGCGCTGAGGCGGCCCTCTCTCTCGCTGCCCGCGCGGGCAGCTGGTGCTAGCGGCACGCTCACTCGCTGCAGTCTGCGGCGCGACTGGTGCTAGCGGCCGGCCGCGCGTCGGAGTCGCCGCGGCCACCGGGGCGATTGGCGTAACGGGCGCCGGCGCGCGCCGCTCGGCGTCATCAGGGCCACGCCCGACGCCATCGGGGGTGAGGCTCCAGGACCTTGTGCAGGCCTATGTGGACATCATGAGGAATGGGGGGGGGGGGGGGGTGGAGGCGCGCAGACACGGACCTCCTCAAGGCAGGTGTAGATGTGTGGACGTCATCGGGGTGGGCATGCAGACCATACGCATGAATCTGGTCTGGGGAGATGTGTACAGGCATAGAAAACATTCGAGGTAACGCGTACGGATACGTATCTCATCGGGGAAAGGTGTGCAGGCATTGTCTCCTTGCGATGGGCCGTTCGAACATAATTTTAACGGGCGTCGTCGTGAAAATATGAACATCATTAGGGGTACGTGTAACTGTATATCACCAGGAGAGTGTCGAAATGCGGGTACCATCGGCAGGCATGGAGACGAAGGGCGTCATCGGCAGGCATGGGGACGAAGGGTGTCATCGACAGGCATGGAAATGAAGGGTGTCATCAGCAGGCATAGAGAAGAAGGGCGACATCGGCAGGCATGGAGACGCAGGCGCCATCAGCAGGCATGGAGATGAAGGGTGCCATCGCTGACATCGATGGCAGGCATGCAGACGTGATCGTCATCAGAACATTAAGTCGGCTTTGGTGTTATGAAGTGCGTTGCTGAGTGTGAATATATGAATTAATTAATGACCACACAGGCAAATCAATGGCCTAACAAGGCAAATTAGTGAGAAGTGCAGCAAGTGATGAACATAGCTTCATGTCAAATCACCAGACGCGCTATCGCGAATGCAGCATGTCAGTCTCGTCGATGGTCTCCTGCAGTTCCGAGTCAGTCTCGTCGATGGTCTCCTGCAGTTCCGAGTCAGTCTCGTCGATGGTCTCCTGCAGTTCCGAGTCAGTCTCGTCGGTGGTCTCCTGCAGTTCCGAATGCGCGCTCGTTGTCTTTCACACACGCTCTTTCCAGCCAGTGATATTCAGAACCGTGCCAGAGCTGAGCCCGCATGCTGGGCAACGAAGTGGCATTCAACGAGCCCGAAGACGGTGCTCACAATGCTTGCTATAATGTTTCGCTGACATCCTTTACACGGTACATTGGCGTGCATCCAATATAGCGAGGCTTAGGCCTTACCTATCACGCGTATTGGCTTTTGTCAAATTTTCTGCTTTTAGCATAAGTCCAGACATCGCAGCATTGACAAACATGTCAAAAGACGACTGAACGTGCGGCCATCGTAGAAGACAAACCATTTCCTATGGATGGTGCTAAAACTATGGTAATGAAGCTGATAATTTTTGAATACCAACGAATATGCGCTGCGCGCATTAACTTGCCCAGTTGCCTCTCAAATTCGTTAACGGTCTGAAGAGTAAGTAATGACGTTTCCTATGTCTGTTTCAAAATATCCACATGTTAAAAAAACATTGAAGCCATCACAAGCACGTGCCTCAAGTCTTGAGGAAAATCCATCGTCCAATCAGAGGTAGATGGGCCGGTTCTTATCACGTGACGATGACCAGAGGAGCTGGCTGTACCCGGTAAGCTGCTATCCTCGGCCCTCACAGTGACCTGAACCGAACGCCAATCACGCAGTAGGGCTTTCAAAAAGATCAATGAACAGGCCACGAAGCATATCAGGCACCAAATCAGACAGGTCGTCCGTTTTCCACAGATTGATGATATTTGCACTGGTGCATGTAAACATATCAGCATATTAAATCAGCTCATCTCCAAACAAATATACGGGAGCCATAGTCTGTATCCTCTTCCCTAAAGACCTCCTTGTTGGGCTGCTTAAGTAATGCCATCAAAATACACGGCTCTCCCCAGCTGGAGTACTTCAGTGGAAAGGAATTTAGATGGAACGTATACCGACGACATTCGCAAATGTATTTGCATCATCGTTCCAACCATGCCACCCGAATGCCTTTTGTGAAATGGCTTATTCTGCCATTTCTGGCGCTCATGAACTGCACGACTCCCAATTTATCATCATTTTCTATTGTATTTGGAACATTCAGCCCTGAAATATTCAGCCTCTCGAGAGTTCCTTGTGAAGATTTTTACCCCATTCCCTTCCCATATCTGAAACAAAATTAGGCAGGACGGCAGCTTGAATGCGACGCGCCTTAGTTGGGGAGGGGGGAATTTGAGCCCTCTGAGACCTTACAAAACAAAGAAAGGTGGAGAAACCAAATTCGCAGGGTACGTAAATCTGTATGCGGACCCACTGGTGTTAAAATATTAAATCCCGGTCATAACCTTTGAGTCCAGTAAGGTCAAACAAGGTCAAACCTTAAATCGACGTCCGAAGTGCTCTCAGACCTCATCATGAAACCACACTTAACCTTAATCCCCCTTCTATGCTGAGATCACTGGTGTTCAATTCAGGTCAATGACCTTATTTAGCATTCAGAAATTCGCTGTTACCAAACACCTAAAAGATTGTTTGATTCTTAATTTTGATACTCACCAAGGATTACTCTGGATGGCATGCTTCTAACCGCAAAAGGTTAATCGGAGTCGTTTTAGGTTCGTAACCTCTTCTTACCCTTATGAAGTCCAAAAAAGGTGTCTGCTGACAACCCTGCGATCAGAAAGCTTGAAATGGGCGCTAAAAACACCCCACAACGCAACTTCATCGCTAACACAAGCAGTTCAGTTTGTTTGCTTTAAACAAACAAATAATCAAGCAACACCAAGGTAACTAACGGACTATAAATTTGATATCTTGTGGCGTGTTTTTGAAATCGCCTGGCGCAACTTTTTTCAAAATAATTTATGTGCAAGACAGTTCTGATGTCAGCTGACTGGCATAATTCGTTTTGAGCTTCTGCCGGAAAAAAGTAAAGGGAAGGTAATTAACCTTATAGGAAAGTTCCTTGCTAGGTTTATGCCCTCAATAATAATTATTACAGGTTTGTTGAATGGCTCGGGCTAAGGGTGGCAAGTGGTAGCGAAAATGGCTTAAATAAATGAAGAAGGCATATGTGCCAGAATTGCTACATTTATATAATGCCCGTTAAACCTCAATGTGCCTGGGAAAGGCTTTAATTGGCAATGTCTCAAGTATCATTTATCTTGGCGTTAGTCAGCTCCAGTCCCTTCTGCCAAGCGACAAATCCTATGCATTTAACATATCTAATTGACATTGGGAAATCGATTCACATCTCCTCATTCGACGTCTCTACGGTCTCCGGGACAACGATGGCAACTACCTACCCGGTGCTAGGACCACGCCTGTAAGAACACTGTGCTCCAGGTGGTGATCTTGCTGTCACAAATGCGATCATGTGTAAATATATATGGATACCACTTCCATCGTGCGTTCGTAAAAGGAGTTTGGCCAGGCGACCCGCCGGCCACCCCGGTTCAAGCCGACTCGATCTATTCACGACCGGTTCACAGGCGAATGCAAATGATCGTGAATCCGGAAACCAACACCGACCATGCCTAGGTTATAGAGACATGTCCGGCTGTGATGGATAGTACATCTGCGACGCAAATGCACTTCGCCGATAAGTACATAGCATGCTTCTGATAGCTACGCGGCGAGCTGGACATCCGTTCTTCTGAAAAGTTCTCCCAGTAAATTATGCCACGACGAACATCAGGGTACGTAATGGACTGATAACACCTTAAAATTCTTTTTTTATTTCTTTCTTTCCCTAAGCGAGGGAATGGAGCATTGTTGAGCGACAAAAAACAGTGATAGTCTTGTTGCATCATACGATTGCAACACGTTGTTCATTCTGAGCATGTTTGGCAGTGTAAGCGCCTGACACTGCAAACGATTCCTGTTTTCAGTCGCTGGCTCCTTGTATGCCAATCAATGTCGTCATTTGTGCTGTAGCTGGCAACCTTATAAATTAAGTAAAACATGTGGGAGAGTCATGCAAATTGTCAGCACCAAGCTGCAGTGCATAAGTTTGTTTAAGTAGGCAAAGAGGTTACGCATTTTAACAGGCGTGCTGAGCATAATGGCCAACTCTACAGCATATGATCAACATGTGGAAACTACAGTACTGGGCCCATGTGTGCTGTACTCAACCACGCAATACCTAGCAAGGACATGCAACTTCGAATTGGACCACAGGGATTTTGAGATCTCCATGACAAAGGCATCCGCGTACCGGGCACCACAAAGGCACCACAAGCCTGGACTCATGGCAGATATGTCGCTATCGGACTACCCGTCATCACAGAGCCGGGCCACCCATCATTGCCAAAGTCTGTCATCACAGAGCCGGGCCACCCATCATTGCCAAAGTCTGTCATCACAGAACCGGGTTACCCATCATTGCCGGAGTCTGCCATCACAGAGCCGGGTCACCCATCATTACCAGAGTCTGTCATCACAGAACCGGGTCACCCATCATTACCAGAGTCTGCCATCACAGAACCGGGTCACCCCTCATCACCAGAGTCTGCCATCACAGAGCCGGGTCACCCCTCATTACCAGAGTCTGCCATCACAGACCCGGGCCACCCCTCATTACCAGAGTCTGCCATCACAGAGCCGGGTCACCCATCATCACCAGAGTCTGTCAGCACAGAGACGGGTCACCCATCATTGCCAGAACCCGTCATCACAGAGCCGGGCCACCCATTATTGCCAGAACCTGTCATTGCAGAGCCGGGTCACCCATCATTGCCAGAGTCTGTCATCACAGAGCCGGGTCACCCATCGTTGCCAGAACTCGTCATTAGAAGGCCGGGTCACCCATCATTACCAGAACGAGCCAGGTGCCTCGGCGACCAAGAAACGGACGATAATCCACGGTCACGAACGACGACCGTGACCGTGGAGTTCATAGGTTTCAGCCGTGACCGCAAACAGACGGGCGTTCCTACCACAAAAACCGCCGGCTGACACACGTTCTTAGACTTGTCGGTGGCTACACCTGTGACTGGA